AATCTTTTCGGATGCGATTTTACGCAACAGTAGGAGAAGGGTTACTATGGATTACACTGGATTTGTCCAATTTTTGATGGCAGAGGTTGACAAGTGTCATCCGCGAAGGTAATTTATCTTTACCATGTACTTTTGTGCTATACCGGAGCCCATTAAGATGAAACTAGCGATGTTTTAGAAGAGTACTTTCTGTTCAGTTAAATTTAGTATTCACGTACATTCTCGTCTCAAACACAGACTCCTGGCTACTCCTTGGGCTATTTGATTCGAACGTAGTTGAGAATCATATTCCAAAACGACTAACTTTCGTAGTTCTGAAACTGAATTGTCCGAACAGCACAGTCATATACGCAGGTACACGCACGTGCATGTACGCGTAGACACCATCTCACCATAATAAGTGCTTTTAATTTCTGTAAAAGCGGGAAAGAAGCTAAAACGAGTTTTGAATTGTCGATTGCATTGGGCTCTTGAGTGAAAGAAAGCACAGGATCCTTAATGGGATAGTTTTGAGCAGACAGTGCTTGATTACAATCATTTGGCTGCAGAGTTACATTATTTGCCTGACTTTAGTATTGAGTATTGGTTTCGAGTGATGGATTTAAATGGGGATGGACGTATTTCATTCGATGAGATGTCAATTTTTTATAAAGAAATCATCGAATACGTGATCAGAGCAGACACAGAACCAATTTTCTTCGATGATGTCGTAAACATGGTAATGTCAATAGCTCAAACTGTTTTAAATTGTTAAAAACTTGAAAGTACAAAAATTGCATGAGTTATAAGGTGGATTGCGGTGTTTTCCTTCTTGAAGCTGGAAAAATGAGGGTTCTGAGCGTTTTGTAAAAAATCGTGAAGTCAGTGCCGACACGCTGAGAGATGGGAGGAGAGGGGAAAACTGAAAAGAATGAGAATAGTTTAGTCAAAAACTGTGGAGAAAGCCAGAGAAGTGGAAAATCTTATCAAATGAGCCAGCATATTTAAACACTCAGAAGCAGCATTTGTCCAGAAGATAAACTTAGCGAAGACTTGCAAAATTGTGTTGAAAGGCAATTGCCGTGACCAAGGACACACTGAATTTATGATTAAATCGCCAAAAAATCATTGTATTTAAGTGGGTGGCATGAAAAAATTAGAGCTGATGGTTTTAATCGTGGAATGGCATACTGGGCAGAGGGCTCAAAATAATTTAAATTCGCTTCTTTCTTTTTCTGGAGACTG